ACAATTAATAATTAATGGTCACAAACAATCAAATTATTTGTGACCACCACCAAATTATTGGTCAAAAACGTGTGACCATCACTTCGTCTTTGCCTCCCCCAGCGACACCACCACCGTCGCGAGCACAACCACCCACACCCACCCATCGCACAGACATCACCGCCGCGCACAAACCACACAAACCACCACAAACATATATGCCACCAACAACACCCACCAACAACTCCCACCGATCAACCGCCTCTCCGATTCACACACACCGAGCCACACACCCACAGGAATGGCAGCAACGACACAACCAGCCACAGACCCGCACACCCATAGCAGGATCTAGACGCTGTGAAAAGAGGAGGGGAGAGGAGACGACGACGGCGGATGAGCAGATCTGAGAAACCGTAGGGAAATACTTGACTGGATCTTCGAGGGCCACCGTCAGCCGCTTCGAACGCCAGAGTCGCCGGCGAGGAAAATGTAGACGGCGACGGCGGATCTGAGAAACCCTAGAGAAATACCGTCCGCCGCTTCGAGCGCCACCGTCCATCGCTTCGAGCGCCACCGTCCGCCGGCGAGGAGGAGGTTGAAGACAGCGACTGATAGGAGAGACACACTGAGGGCAGAGAGGGAGAGAGAAAACGGCGAGGGAATGAGGGTAGGAGAGAGAAACGATAACTGAAAAATGATTTTGAAATTAATTATTAATATTAAATTCTTTTAATCAAAACCTGAATCTTGAAAAATTAAACTTCTTATCTGATTTGTAAAAACGGTAATCTAAAACCAGGGGCAGCTGTAATTTCGTCTTTTGGGATAACAATTGGAATCTTGTTACATGTGATTTACGTCAAAATATACAGGAGGTACGTAATGTGACGTGATACTCTATTATTTGTCAATTTAAAATATAATTAATTTTTTATTCAATATTTTCCCTTCACGTCATTTTCGGTAATCGTTTATGTACCATTTTAATGTAAAAATAGCGAAATTCTATTTTTTAACTATACATTTTATCAACATTTATCAAAATCTATTAAAAATTTGATTTTAGCCCTTATTTGGTACACATTATTTTTTTCATTCTCATTCTTCTACTAATTTTCAATCACACATTTTTCAATAAAATAATATTTTCCATCACATCAATAACTTTTCCTTCATTTTTAATCATACATTTT